TAAGCCATGCAGTCACTTATAGGAGAGTGCGGGGGAGGGGGTGGTGGTGCACCCTCATGCACCCATGAAAAATACAGTGAATGTATAGGGTTAGGCGCCAAGCAAGTCCATATGATTTTGTCAGAATTTTTTTAGCGACATTAAGTCCAACTAAACGAAAAAATACGTCCTTATACATATATATATATATATTGCCTGAAGATAGTAATGTAATCAGCCTGTTTGACCTCAAAGTATTTTGTGCATTTGCTGCAGTTTTCGGCTGATTCATCTTAGCTTCTCTGTATGCCAACAACATTGCAAAGGTGCCAAAACTTAGTCACCAGGCGCCAACTTATATCGCTTCAGTTAAAGGGATAATAACTCTTCGTATGAGATCTATATTTCACAATAGAAACATTGTGAATAACTCATAGAAATATAATATATTCTGTTTTACGACAAAAACAGCAGTTATAGCTATTATTCTGATATCTGAGATTGTCTTCAGATCACGTGACCTCCACTGATGGCTATACTCTGTTATAATCTCTTAAGAGATTTTAACAAAAAAACCAAACTTTTTAGAAAAAAACCAGGGACTAACTTTGAATGTAAAAATGGATTCATTAACCATTGGTAAGTATGGGAAAATTGTTATTTACTCCAGGAAAATTCATTTTTTGGCCAAAAGGAAGAGTAATTATCCCTTTAAGCGTCACATGCTTGTTATAGATATGAGGGAGAACATCTTTCCGAGTTCAACAGTGCTTGACCTATCAGAACACAACTACTCAATGAAGTTTTAAATACTGATTTTTTGGCGGTGCTTTCCTCTTTCTTCTCTTTTTTTATCATATCTTATTCCACGAAGAATCACTGAAGTTCATAAAATAATATCTAATTAATATAAATGAATCAAGACATAATTGTGATACCAATAAAAAACGGAGTGGCATGAGAATGATATTGATGTTAAACTCGCCAAATATGTAAACGTTCAAATGGATGGTTCCATACTGGAAAACATCTCAACAAACTTACATCTTTTAGGTCATCATAGCTCTCAAATTTGTATGTACTTCACATAATAATTTTGTTGTCCCTTTTGAAAATAAATTCGAATGAAGTTCCATTTTATTTGTCGGATATAAGTAGAATACACCAATGAGAGGTTCCCATCTTGGAAACATGCTTATTTTGGCAGAAAGCACATTTTCTATCCCCCCAGTTTGGCTCTTTTCACTCTTGTAAATGTCAGAAATTATCCGAATGGAGACATGTATGTTTTATATGAAATGTTGATTTATAGTGTGTTTTCTGCTCCTCAACATATTCATGTGCAATCTTTTAGGTTAACAGTCACGTTTCCCGATTATCGACGCCCAAAAATCAGAAGCAGATGTCGGAAGTCACACATACATTATGCAAGAAAATGTATTTCTTCCCAGGTATAGTATGCTTAAATAAGGACACATAACTTATCTTAATGTCCTGTTCAAACCAAATGTTCATTTTCTTCGTGAATGGTGTGAAATGTGTGGCCAAATGCAGCAGCAATTGAATAACAACATTTACCTAAATATGAAGATAATTGGAAATACATTTTATTTTGACATCGCCATATTTTAATATTTTAAAAAAGATGTGACAGATATCGGGCATCCACACAAAAAATTCAACTCATTCTTATTAATTAGGTAACGGGAAAGGCAAATTGGTGGCTCCACCTAGAGATCTGTCCTCGATGCTGGAAGACATGCGTTGGAAAAAAAGCAAATTTGGTTCTGTAAACACTCTGAGGTAAAACATGTACATATTTTGCTTTAACAATTGTACGTATTTGAAATTCCCTTTATTTTTACAATGAAATATACTTCTAGCTCCTATATGCATGTACTTATTTCGTGCGGTTTGCTGCCAATAAGATTAATTAATAAAAAATGATGGCACAATTACTTGGAAGGAGTTCCTGGTAATTTACCTGGCAAAATATCACACACACACACACACACACACACGATAATTTACCGCAGATGTCCGCAGATGATAATCAGCAATAAAAATTATCAATGTTGTTGGAATTTATCATAAAATTATCATTGTCTTTATTTTCATTTTAATTTATATATCACAAAATATAAATACGCATGCATAAAAATATCTTTAATATAGCATCCAGCCAGAAGTCCTGATACCAAGGGCGTACCAGAAGGAACTTGCTCAGCCGGCGATGGATGGGCTCAACTGCATTATCTACGCTCCACCAAACAGCGGGAAAACCCTCGTGGCTTTAATGATTGCCAAAAACCACCTCGAGAAGAGATGTGCTTCTACAATGACTGCGGCAACTTCGGGCAGGGGAGATGATGATGTAACTGAATTGAAAACTGCTGCGACCTCATTGGGGAATACTGTGCCCAAAGTTTTAGACGACGACGACGTCACTCGATTGAAAACACCTGTGAACACGTCTAGCGTTACGTCTTGTCATACTGCACCTGCTGTTCGTGACAGCAATAATGTTGACGAAGTTACTCAACTGAAGGCTGTCGTGGACACACAAAGTTCAAAGTTACCAAAAGTAGCCTTTGTTACCAGACGGTTTGCCCTCCTACAACAAACCTTCAAACACTTCAAGAAATACATGCCGCTATGGAGCACTGGCAAACGCAGCGGTGCGTCAAACTCGAATGTGCCACTGAGTGTACTTCTCCGACGCAAAGACATCATTATAGTCGTTGACAACATCTTGAAAAATTCACTGGAGTCGAAGGATGTTAGTATTATGGATTTCTCCCTAATCATCTTCGATGAGTGCCATCACTGCAAGGCAGACAATGACCACCCTTACAATCAAATCATGTCATTTTACATTGAACAGAAGTTGAAGTTGGGTAAAACAGGGGCGGGAAAGTTACCACAGATCGTTGGGCTGACCGCCAGCCCTGGAGGGGGAAAACGACCAGTCGCAGAAAGTGTTGCACATCACATTCTTAAGCTTTGTGCCAATCTAGACGCCCGTCGCATTGTTACGGTGAAGGACAACCTGGACGAATTAAACCAAATGAAACTGGAGCCCATAGACCAGGTTTGCATTGAGGTGGAGGAACGAGAGAATCCCTTCAATGACCTTTTGGCGGCCATGATGGGTGAGATAGAAAGCAGGATACAAGTTTCTACGGGCAGTACCAAGGGCACACAGGAATACATGTCATTTGTAGAGGAGAAGAAAAAGGCTTTTCTTGAAGACGACGGTCCTAACACCGGGGATTGCCTCTTGTGTTTGGAACATTTGTTAGAATATAACAGTGGTAAGAATAATGTGTGAGACACTTGACATATTGATGTCTTGATTTGTAAGTTTAATATATACGCTTTGTTACGTTATAGTTTCCTTGGGACAAAAACTTTTTCTCTTTGGCAATGCCAATGCACGATATATCTATTACACTGACAGACATAAAGGTTATAAAGAAAAGAAAAAGTGGCCTTTAATAAGAGATCATACTTCGTTTAGTACAATTAGAGTCGACACAGTTATGGGAGTTAATGCATTTTCTTTAATAAAAAAAATGTTTAAACTGAAAATGAGACAGGTGAGCACAGATAGCCGTTTTCCAAATTTAAACATGGCTAAAACTCGGTGTAAATCATCGTTGATTTTGGCAAATACCCTGAAAGGTTTCAGATTTTACTACACGTAATAACGGTGGCTATCGTTTTCATGGGGTGTTTACTTCGATAGCAGCATTTGTCATAACAGTTCAATGTAGCTTGCACAAAAATTTAAATGTCAACACTTTCACTGAAAATCTTATGTTTCAGCAATGGAGTTCTGCAGTTCAATGCGAATGGAAGATGGGCTTAAATCTCTGGAGGACTTCTATAATGAAATGGAACGCAAGAAAAGGCAAAGTGGTTTTGGAGCCATGGAGAGAAGACTACTAAAGCTTTTTAAAGGTATTGGACACTCATTTACCAAATAGTTATAGCAGCTATAGTTAAAGCACTACTTGAAAGCATAAAATTGTTATATCTGAATATTAGGTTGCATATTTTGTTTATGATTGAAAGAATTGATACGACAAATATGTATCAAATGTTGCCGTTGTGAGTGCATGTGTACATGAACAACAAAGATGTAGGAGTTTGGAACGAGCATTGAAATATATTCCCAAACACAAAAAATTAAAAGTTTTAATTTTGCAGAGAAAGTTTAACTAGAAACATTTGTAAAATGTAAATGAAGGACCGAAATCTCTCCCATACGAAATTTATAATCACTTGCATGCTTTTTTTCAGACAATGTACCAAAACTAAGCTCTTTTGCGTCAAATGAAAGGACACCCCCAAAACTAAAGCTTCTGAAAGAACAGGTACTGACCAAACAAAGGAAACAGGAAGAAAATTCCCTTCCATTTAGAGGTAAGTTACAAAGTGTAACATTTTGGAAAATGTTAAAAAAAAAGATGGCAATCTTAGTTCTACTAGTTGAAAACTCTGGGAACCAATGTACAAAATACAGACGAGTTTCCAGTGCTCTATGAAACAGGAAGCGAGTCTACTCCGTCAGTATTTAATTTCTATCAAATATTAAACATGGTGAAACTATTTTTAATTGAATTACAGCAATGATTTTCGTCAAGACTAAAAAGGCAGCCGAGGCGATGAAACGATGGATAAACAATGCTACAGATTTGCATCAGCTCAATGCCGATGTGTTTATGGGAATAAAATCATCGGAGAAGGGCGGGATGTCACCTGACACACAGACGGCAATACTGAAGAAATTTGAATCGGGAGAAACAAAAGTATTGATTAGTACAAGTGTCGGAGGGGAAGGAATTCATGAGTCCAACTGCGGCATGGTTGTTATCTACGATCACATGTTTGATGACATATACAGCATTCAATCACGTGGACGTGCACGCACAACGAAAAGTACCATCGCAGTTATCGGTGCGGCAAACACAACAGCGAAGCATGAAGTGAATGTTTTATTAGAACAGCTCACAAAAATGGCCGTTGCTAGCATACAGCAAATACCTTCAGAACAGATGTTGCAGATTGTCGAAGACTTCCAGCGTGAAGATGCCCACAGAAGAAAACAAAAGCGGGAGATGATGGAAGAACAAAAAAAGATAAACCGCACCGACGACGTAACACTCATCTGCAAAGGGCTGTGCGGAAGGCGCGTATGCAACCTCTCTGATATTCGTACAATTGGATCATCCTACGTCAATCCAGATCCCGACTTCGCTTCTAATTTTGTTCTTTTCCGAGATCATCATAACAGTCAACAGAGAGCGCTCGGTATTAAGAAGATTTACTGCAAAGTGTGCGAACAAGACTGGGGAAACACATTGAAGGGCTACCCTTGTTTAAAGATTAGCGCATTTTACACTGAGGAACGCGGGGTGAAGCTATCAAGGAAAAAGTGGTCCAAAGTTCCTTATTCCGTCAAGAAATTATATGCCGATGCGTAGAAGTCTACTATCTCCACAGTAATGGGGGTTTCCTACTCAGCGGTGGGAAGTTGTGAATTATGTGCCAGACGTTCACATACGTGATAAAAAATAGTCCACAAAATACCGTACTCTGGAAATTACTGCTACCTGTAACAATGGCAAGTTCTTTCTAACATGCTGTCTTAAAATGCACGTTTCTCAATGGTGGACATAATTCAACAATTACATTTGATACAATATGGTATTTGGTAATGTGATGATTTTTCGAGGTAGGGGGTGTAAAAATGACAAGTCACAATTTCAATACGATTACTTACATTAAAATTTTATAAACGTTCTACATTACAATCCTTGGTAGTTTGGTTCACACGTTTGGAACACGTTGAATAAACACTTTTTGGTTTGGGGGTATACCGGGGTATTTATGTACCGGTATCTACCCGTTTCAACGTGGAGTTAATGCACGCTAATACGAAAACGACTTGAGTTTTTTTCTCAACATCGATTACAATATCCAGATTTTTCTCTTTTTCATATAAATTTTTGAATCGATAAGAGGTCCTTAGCTTAAATGTGTTCCCAAGTGCACAATGTCAGTTATATATATCTCCAAATCCATTTTCAAATAAGAGATTCATGATACATTCACTCCATTCAGGTTGAATGGGCTTTCCTTTGGAAGCAATTTGTATTATTTTATCTAAATATGCTTGCATCAAAGCAATTTTCATCACCATCAAATCATCGTATTAACTGCTATAAATTATAAATATATACAAAGCTGAGACCACTCATCCAATTTCCATAGCTGATTTTTGCTTCACTCGGAAAAAAATTTGTATGCTCCCAAGTCCCCGCCACCCCACCCCCCCCTCCCATCCAAAAACAAAAAGCATCCCCTCCCTCCCTCCCTTTGATCCCTTATATTAGATCCGACAGTGTCTCTACAGTTTAATAGAGTATATTTCATGTTCTCCTGTGCTGATGTAGTCATCCACCAGGAGGTCAGCTGTGTGATATGCTGTTAGTTCACAAGTGCCACTCTGTGTCCCAGTCACTGCAAACACCACACTGTGACATATGGTGTCCTGCATACAGCTGTCTAAGCAGGCCAATATGTGCCTCACTGTCACTGATTTATGAACTTTGCTGGGGTCACTCAGTGCAAAACCTTTTCCAATTGCCTTTGGCTGGTAGAATCGTCTTCTTGACACCTTAGTGATTATAAAAGAATGGCAGAGGGTACAAATGTATGAATCAGTAAATGGAAAAGATCAATGACAAAACATGTGGATGCAGGATAAACTGTACATTAAAACATCATCCAAATGGGAAGGTTTAATTAAAAATGTACAGACTGTACGTACTGTATGAGGTTTTACACATCAACAGTTAATCAAAATATTAATACAAATATTTACAAATAAATTAAAAACCTTATTTATAAAGTAACAAAAGTGTATTATAACTATATGTTTTCCTTAATTTAACACATGACCAATCCTACCAATAATTACCTTATTAATAAAATTTGAGTAAGCTCCCAGACTGAAGATTGCAGCACTATCAAGAGACTGGCCAATGGCCACAAAGGCTTTACCATTTGAAAGTGACAAAGAATGGACTCCTGCAGGCAATTTAAAACTGAGGGTAGTTATGTCTGTCATTTGGACTGATGGGTACGGCTGTACTACAGCACCACCTACTGGGGGAAAGTTGTTCACAAGAACATTGTCCAAGTGGCAGGCATCAACTGCTATGGTTATCATGGTTGGTGATTCGCTTGTGCTGAGAATAGAAACCAAATAAGGAAATTAATACTAAGTTCATGCAATAGTGGAAATATAAACTTTCAAGATTTACACATGACTATACATTGTGCAACGCATATGTACAAATAGTCCTAAAATTTTGATGTAAATCACAGTGCATACAACAAACCCATGACAAGTTGGGATCTAAATTTGCTTAGTTATAAAATTACATAAATGTTAATTTTTTTAGCTAAGATAATAACAGACTTATGAATTATACACAAAAAACTATTCAGAATCAATCCTAAAAATAAATGCAATAAAAATAACAAATAAGTAAAAGCAAAACTTACAAAAAGAAATTGCTTCCTCCCTGCTGTACAGGTGGCAGAACAATCATTCCAAGAGAAGACACATTCTCAGCTTCCACATAGGCAACTACAAGGACAGGTTTGCTTGCTGTGATGTAAAAGCCACTGTTGTCCACTGAGGGAGGAATGACCACGGACTGACCACGCTTCTTAATTTTGGTCATTGTCCCATTGGCAAAGGTTAACATNNGATGGGTACGGCTGTACTACAGCACCACCTACGTGGGGGAAAGTTGTTCACAAGAACATTGTCCAAGTGGCAGGCATCAACTGCTATGGTTATCATGGTTGGTGATTCGCTTGTGCTGAGAATAGAAACCAAATAAGGAAATTAATACTAAGTTCATGCAATAGTGGAAATATAAACTTTCAAGATTTACACATGACTATACATTGTGCAACGCATATGTACAAATAGTCCTAAAATTTTGATGTAAATCACAGTGCATACAACAAACCCATGACAAGTTGGGATCTAAATTTGCTTAGTTATAAAATTACATAAATGTTAATTTTTTTAGCTAAGATAATAACAGACTTATGAATTATACACAAAAAACTATTCAGAATCAATCCTAAAAATAAATGCAATAAAAATAACAAATAAGTAAAAGCAAAACTTACAAAAAGAAATTGCTTCCTCCCTGCTGTACAGGTGGCAGAACAATCATTCCAAGAGAAGACACATTCTCAGCTTCCACATAGGCAACTACAAGGACAGGTTTGCTTGCTGTGATGTAAAAGCCACTGTTGTCCACTGAGGGAGGAATGACCACGGACTGACCACGCTTCTTAATTTTGGTCATTGTCCCATTGGCAAAGGTTAACACTGTGTGGTCAAGACTTGCAAGGACCTTAACCTGGACATTGTTCATCTTAGGCTATAAGATAAAAGAACTGCAGTATAATAACATTGATGAATATGAGGCACCCATTTATCTTTAACAAAGCGCATAGTTCTAAAAGTACACTGTTCAAATGAATATTTTCTTTTGGAGTTTGTTAAAGTTCTTTAAAATAGATCCGTCTTGCTACCTGTTACATGTTTAGTAGTTAGTAGTTTGGTACAAAGGTGCCTGCATAAATGTTATAAAAAATCCACCCATATATAATAACAAAGGTATTAAATACAAAAAAGAAAAAAAAACTGAGTGAAAAATCTTACCATAGCAAAAACTGTCCCCCAAGCTTCCACTGGTATCATCTGTTCCACCAAAGTCCATGCTGTCTTATTTTCTGCTGTAATATTTTCAAAGTTACTAGATCCAATACTTGTCAAATGAATGTTACCACTGTATACAGCTATGGGTTTGTCTGCAACGACTCGT